TGGGCGCCGGGTCCACGCGGGCTCTCCGACGGCGCCCCCGCTTCCGCGGCGGTGCCGCAGCGCCGCTCCGACCCGTCTCTCCTCCGGCCGGCCCCTCTGCCCGCCAGGACACACCCCCGGGCGTATGCACACACGCGTGGGCGCAGACACGCGCATATGCGCGCACACGCGGCCTACACACATGCACGCGGGCGCACATGCACACGTGTGCCCACATGAATGCACGCACACGCGTTCATGTACATGCCCACACAAACTTGGGAGTGCGCACGCATGCACACGCAAACGCACGCGTGCGCACTCACTCAGGCAGCTTTGAGAGCCCTGCCCCCCCCTCCTGTGCTCACACACCCCTGCAGGCACAGGCGCCAGCCCAGGGCTCACTGCTCCTGCCCTGGGACCCAGGCACCGCGTCAGGGTTATCCTCAGAGACACGCAGGATGGGCTTTCAGGCCACTATTGGGCCCCGTGAGGCCCCGCGGCCCCCGGTTGGGCAGGAGAGTCCTGCTCCTGCGGCGGAGGCCCCCTGAGCCCAGTCAGGACACGGCTGTCCCACGGGAGGGGGAGGTCCTGCACTTCCACCATCTGCGTCCGCCTCTCCCCCTTCCTCCTCTCTCTGTCTCCCTCTCCTCTCTCTCCCTCCCCTCCTCCTTCTCCTTCTCTCTCTCCCTCCGCCCCCCAGTGGTTCTCAATCTTAGCTGCACTCTGGAATCACCTGGGCAGTTTTTAAAACTCTGGGTGCCAGGTTGCCCTGCAGACCGATGCCACCCAGCTCCCAGGGGTGAGGCCCAGACGTGGTATTCTTTGATGCTTCCAGGCGGTCCTAGCGTGAACCCAGGCTGCGAACTGCAGCAGATGTGGTTTCCCGGGACAGTGGAGACCCCTGAGTGAGTCTCACGAGACGCCACAAGGCCACAGGGCTGGAGTGGTCTCTGGGATCATCTGGGGCCGTTTCAACTACATTCATGGACTCTTGTAATTAACAGAACATGTTTCTACACGTTTACTAAGTCCAGGCACTGGTCTAAATGCGTACTGTATTCCCTGATGTCACCACGGCCATCCTTTGAGGCCAGCGTGATTACAGGATGTCTCTTTTACGGATGAGAAACTGAGGCACACCGCAATCCTCCCATGGTCACATGCTATTTTACGGGGAGCCACGATTCAGGACCCCAGATGACTTCCTTTGTGCTCAGGGCTGATAGGGGCCCGGACCCGGCCCCCGCCCGCAGATCAGAACTGCAGTTCTGGCAAGGAAGCCGAGGCGCCCCGGGCCCCGGGAGCGTCCTCAGAGTTGGGGAGGAGCCCGGTTCGGGGACAGGATCGGCAGAGGCCATTCCCTTCTCATTGTCGTAGTACAGCTTCCCGATGGCCCAGGCCACGACGATGGGGAACGGCACACCTGGGGGGAGACGGGCATCGTGGGGCCTTCTGGGGGGATAGGCATCCTAGGGCTTTCTGAGAGGGGCTGGACATCATGGGGCCGTCTAGGCGGACAGGTGTCAGGGGCCTTCTGGGGGCACAGGTGTCATAGAGCCTTCTGGGGGGAGGGCATCATGGGGCTTTCTGGGAGGGGTTGCACATCATGGGGCCTTCTGGGGGAACAGGTGACAGGGGCCTTTTGGGGGTGACAGGCGTCACGGGGCCTTCCCAGGGCTGGGGGTCCCAGGTCCCAGAGGGGACAGGGTCACACTCCTCTGAGATGCTGCCACCCGTCCCCGCTGGCCCGAGCCTGGGCAGGGAGGGTGGCGGCCCGACCCCTGGACCTGCGCCTCACCCCAGCCAATGGCAACGAACATCCACTTGCGCAGGCGGTCGGTGGAGTAGGTGAGCACCACGGCCGTGTGCAGGTAGCAGCCCTCGCCAAACATCCAGAAGAAGTTGGTCACGTGGAAGTAGTTGTAGGCGGCCGTCACCAGCCTGCACCAGCCCTGCCGGCCCAGATGCGGTGAGGGGGCACCCGCCCTCCTTCCCTGCAGGCACCCTGCACCCGGCCAGCCCCTCCCCACAGGCACACCCCCCACCCGGCCAGCCGCTCCTGCAGACCCCGCCCCACCGACCCCTCCCTGTGGCGCCCCCTCCTGCGGGGGCCATCCCGGCCCACGCACCACGTTGCTCTGGTGCACCTCCGGGCTCACGGTGAGCTGCACCACGAACCAGGTGGCGTTGCACAGGATGAAGGCGGCGACGAGGTTCCAGTGGATGATGTTTCGCAGGCACCGGATGCTCCTGGGCGCGAGGGGAGGGCCAGCGGGGACTGAGGGAAACTGAGGCGGCCCCGAGCAGCCCAAGGCGGAGCACACCCGAGGCAGGGCTGAGGGACACCGTGGGACAGTGGGGTGGGGAAACCGAGGCGCAGTGCTGAGAGTGGGGCACACCCCGGGGGGCTGAGGGGCGCTGCTGGGGAGAGGGAACCGAGGCGCAGCAGCTGAGGGCGGGGCACACCCGAGGGAGACTGAGGGACGCCAACACGGGGGTGGGGAAACCGAGGCGCAGCGGCCAAGGGCCAGACACACCCAAGGGGGTGCGAGGCTCTGCCAGGCCCTTCCCACCTCGACCCAGCGTCAGCCCCAGGGCCGAGCAGTGCCGCCTTCTCACCGGAGCCTCAGGAAGAGGAGGAAGGCCACCAGGAGGGCCGCCAGGGAGAGGCAGTGGCCCAGGTAGTTGA